CACACACACACTCTCTCTCTCTCTCTCTCTCACACACACACACACTCTCTCTCTCTCTCTCACACACACACACACACACACACACACACACAAAGACACAGACAGACACAGACACACCAGTACGTAAAGAGACATTTAAGAGGGCTTAATCTCCAAATAACTCTAATTTCACGTTGCAGAAAAATGTGTTTAAAAATTGTGTATGGTCTCTTGTTCTTGTTCCAAGTTACCTTCCTATCCACTGATTTTTGCCTTTTACGAAAGCCACGAAGCCTTCCAAGAAGACAGTAAAGGCTCATGTCATGCTTGCGCTTTAGTCAGGCGGAAACTTGAAAGTTAAGTTGCACGACATAAATGCAATGTTTAGGTATTATTATTATTTTAATTTATGCGTTAGTTTTAGTTTGTACCGTTTACCTTTTTTAAAGTAATGTGAAATAGATTTTTATTTTATTGATGTATTTGCATTTTGAATGTAATCTGGCAATTAAATGGGTTTAGTTTTCAACTTTTCACGGTTATCAATGTATGCAATTTCAGCAATAAAAATGTTAATTTTTCTAAAAAAGAAATTAGCTGTTTATTTTAAGAGATCTATCTTATTATCTCATGTATATTTAGTATTGCTCTTTAATCGATGGAATATTATTATTATGGAATATTATCAGCGTATTAAAGCGACCTCATATCTGGTCTGTGTGTAAATGTGTAACGTTACCCAGGGCTACGATAGAAGTCTCTAACGCTTGTCCTCTGCAGGAGTATATAGATATATTGAGTGTAATGTTGAGTATATGTGTGTGTTTATCGCACGTACCTTTAGCCAGAGCTACAGTGCTGTTCTCGGTGTCGATCGTGTATAAAACTCCCTCGTATCGGATCTCGGCCTTTGAGATCAGACTGATCTTGCTGCCGATATAAGGCGTCCCTCCGCTCATCTTTGCGTGCGGTGTTATCGGACTGAAGGCTGCTTTTCGGTGATTCGGAGTCGTTTTCTTTCAGCCTGGATTTAGCACTACACGGCCGAACTCGAGATGCATGCTGGGAAACGCGCCGCCGACGCGCCGTCACGGTGGTATCGCGAGACTTCGCGGGATTTCGGTATGACTCGCGTTACATGGGGAATTACGCAAGATTCGAAATGCGATTCAAACGCTGTGGGAAGCAAATAATTAGGCGTTCTTACTTAAATGGCTATAAAGGGATTATTCTATATCCCCATGCACACGTGCATTATATCATAATATAACAGTTAAAACAATAATCCCTGAAATCCCGCCCAATCAACAGCTCGTGCAATATATTTATTATTAAAGTCTGTGAAACTGTAATGTCTGGTCAGAATGAACTCTACGATCTCAGTTATGGCCGATGAGGAGAGCTGAGGCATTAGTTGATGCACAATTACATATGCTAACAGCAGAACTGAAGGATTATTCAATCATAAACACACTGAAACATCAGAGCAATAACTACATTATTAAAGCTTAATAATGTCATTCCAAGTACTGTATTCACATGCTGGGCTACTCTTTGACATTTCTGCATGGTTTACCCGATTTTATTCTGAATTCTGTTTCTCTAGCTGCCTGGGCCCAGCTAACAAGAACAAACACTCGTGCAGTCACGTTAATGGAATGGAGTTTAAAGTATTCTGCTCTTTAATAACCTTTTCAAAACATTCTCATGAAAACATTATTTATACATTGCTTTCTGAAACGTTTTGGGTTGATGTTCGTCTAGCGTGTTTTTCTTTTTGAATGTTACCTGTTTCAGAACGTTCAGAGAGCACTCGAAAGTAACAGTCCCGTAATGTTTGCACAATTCTAAAATGGAATGTTCCTGTAACATTCGCAAAACTAAGAAACACGTTTCTAAAACATTTTAAAACTGGATGTTTTAAATGCTCCTAGAACACATTTTCTTAGCTGGGTACTATCTATCTATCTATCTATCTATCTATCTATCTATCTATCTATCTATCTATCTATCTATCTATCTATCTATCTATCTATCTATCTTTTTATCTATCTATCTATCTATCTATCTATCTATCTATCTATCTATCTCTTTTCTTTCTTTCTTTCTATCTATCTATCTATCTATCTATCTATCTATCTATCTATCTATCTATCTATCTATCTCCATTCCCTCCAACTCGTGTAGTATCTTGAGGTGTAACAGGGGAACAACTGTTTGGTTTTGGCCCTCTGACGTCACATCCATTCCCACAATGCCATAGTAACACGACTGCGCACTCGCGCTCGTGGACGCGCACCAGCAGACAGCCCATCACACACACAGAGAGCGAACATGGCGGGCGCCTCCGACCCTCTGGAAGACATGCTCTTCTCCGAGGTGGACGAGAAAGCCGTGAGCGATCTAGTGGGCTCGCTGGAGTCTCAGCTGGTGGGCCAGAGCGACCCGGCCGCCGCGCAGCCCGAAAACGCTCGCCCGGGCAGCGCGAAGCAGCAGCAGCAGCAGCAGCAGGCAGGAGGAACAGCGCAGCTGTCTGCTCCTATAGGCTCTCCATCAGAACCACAACAACAAGCACAGCAGCAGCAGAACGCGCGGAAAGCTGCGCGCAACCCGGATTCCGACCCGAAAGACGCCAGCATGGAAAAGCACGCCAAAGCCCTGGAGAAGGAGAGCCCTCTGAAGTCGCATGGCAGCATCATCATCATCACTACGGCAGCAGCATCCGACGCTCCCGCACCGGGCAACAAAGGTGAGAGCCCGAGGGACACCCGCAAGAAGCACCCGGGGAACACGCGCGCGCTGCGCTCCCCAGCATCCCACAGTCTCAACGGCAACGGAGCCGACGCAGCATCAGCATCACCCAGCTCCTCCAGCCCGAGCAGCACGACTTTCACCGTGTCCAGTAACCCGCAGGCGATCGCGCTGGACCGCGGGACGCCCACCATCGCGCTGCACCGACTCCCGCGTCACATCGTCGCCAGCATCGCGCAGAATGGAAACGGCACGTCCGTGTCCGCGCTGGTCCAGCAGAGCGCGCAGGTCAACCACAGCAAACCACCCGCGGACGCACCCGGGAACAACGCGAAACCCGCGGCGACCTCGGCCACAGCAGCGCTTGTCAAACCGGCTGTCTGTGTCAGTGCGGCTCCGGTCATCAGACCTGCGCAGCAGAGGGTCGTAACGCCGCAGCTGATTGTCAGACCACCGCAGCAACAAACTACAATACAGCTGCCGCCCGGATTCACCATCCCACCAGGTACTTACGACTTACTAGTGCTCGATGTGCACTGCCTACTCTACTCTGACTCTTTTGCACATGTTAGAATAACAGTAAAGTGATGCAGACTCTGAAATAACACAGCTGGAAGTCTGGGTGTGATGTAGTGAGCAAAACACGTGACCCAAATGAAAACTCCCTAATATTTGAGCGTCTTGATTGTTATTCTGCACATCAGGAACACTGTTCTGCTCTTTAACTTGTGATGAGCACTTGTTGATGCTCTTCCTTCACTATCCGCTTTAACTGATCTTTTTAAAAATCCAAATGAAATTCAAATACAGGCACAATTTATATTTGTTTTCAAGCATTTAAACAGAAGCATTTAGCATTAAAAAAAAATTCTGACATCAAGGCACATCAATAGTTTCAAGTGTGTCTAAACATAAACACTTAAACATTTTGTTTCATCATGGACCAAAAAGTGTTTTTCCCCTTTTGAACTTTTGAAAGACTTCAAAAACTTTATTTGCCAAATATATACAAATAAATTCAGTGGCCCAAAAAGTATTTAGACACTTAAGTGACACTTATAAATATGTGAATGCCATTTATTCGTGTCTTTACCTACCATCAGTGTTTTTTTCTCAGAAATGACTAAAAATTACTAACTTTTTATTTGTCAGATGTTTTGCTTGAGAAGTGTGTTTCAGACAGACATATGCTTGCTTTGATATTTTGTTATGTAATATCATGTTTTGCATATAATATAGTGACACTCAAAGATTTTAAAGTGTGACTCAAGTCTCCAGATACTTTATTCTCTTTGAATTATGTATACATTTCCAGTATATGTAAACAGACCTCACACCAGATGATGTTGATTGCATTTGTGAGTTGATCAAATGCTTTCTGGAGCTGCAGCACTGATGTTCTCGTGCTTCAAAAAACCCAGAAGGTGCTGAATGGTGAAAATGTATAGATGAGATCTGAACCTAAAACACGTCTGGAGTTTAAATGATAACTATTTGCTGTAGATGAACTTTACATTGGTGCATCTGGATGCTGACTGATGAGTTTGATGGTGATGACGTGCAAAACGGAGTCAGTTTGGACTCCCCAATGAGCAGAATGTAGATCAAAAAGTGACTTGATGTCTTACAAGTGACTTTCAAGTGATTTATCATGAATCAGTAGATAATTTGCTCTTTCTGTCAGTACAAATATGATAAAAAATACTGTTGCCTTTTCACTCTCTGACTGAGTGTGTTCAAGCACTCTATCTGAACTTTATCTGAATCATTATTTCACACTAATATCAGGAAAAAAAGCTTAGTTTAATTGTGTGATCTGCATTTTAATGGGTCGGTGGTTTTGTTTTATAAGAACAAACTGCTCTTTTTAATACACTCTTAACATCCTACAACACTCTGAATGTCTGTAGTGCAGCTTAGATGGGTCGTTTACATCGAGCATATCCAAAGAAAATTTGTTTATATAGCACATTTTATACATTTGTCTTCACATAATAATACTTACAAATGATCTTAAAACAATTATAACAGAATACATATGAAATAAAAATAACACAAAGTAAAAAAAATAAGCATTTATGAAAAATTCGATTTTTTTAATAAGAAGAATATTTCATGAATCCATGAATTTCTAACAATATTAAAATGTAAAATAATCAGTATCAGTATTTAAAGTGTATATTTCAGGTCCAGGTCACCATTTCTTTTCTCATTCATAATTTTTTTTTCAGCTTGAGAGTTCACTAGTTTATTTGATATGGTCCTGTGGTGTGATAAATGACAGGACAGTGTTGCATTTAGTGTTACAAATACTGTTAAATCTGCATGCATAATATTAACAGAAGACTGAACAAATGAGGTTTAAATGAGAACGTGAGTCACAATACACAATGTCAGCTTAATAAAAGTATTTGAAAGTGAAGTGTGGTGACTCTGTGCTCTGCATTTAACCTATCCAAGTGCACACGCAGAGTAGTGAGCACACACCCGGAGCAGTAGGCAGCCATATTGCTGCGGCACCCGGGGAGCAGTCGGGGGTTCGGTGCCTTGCTCAAGGGTCTCACCTCAGTCGTATTGAGGGTGGAAGAGAGCGCTGGTCTTTCACTCCCCCCACCTACAATCCCTGCCGGACCTGAGACTCGAACCCACAACCTTCGGGCTACAAGTCCGACTCTCTATCCATTAGGCCACGACTGACCCCTTGTCATTTACTCCAATGCTCTTTTTCATGTATCATTTCAGGGAAATCCATGCCGATCAAGACATTAGACAAACACATGCAAAGAATAATAATTAGTCAGAATCTGAATTAAAATCTCACAATTTTGGTTTCAGAAACATCCAAAGCTTCAGCTGTTGATATGGATTGTAACTTTTCATGCACGTTGATGCATGAACATTTTCATTGATGTTTCATGCACTGATGATGCTTCTTGTGATGCTTTGCTACATATTTTTGTTGAATATTGTTTAAAATAGATGTTTAGCATGTCACAATACACAATCACAACTTATTAAAATTATTTCATGTCATTTACCCAAATGCTATTTTTAATTGATTGTTTTTAGGGAAATGCATTCACATAAAGACATCAGACTGATATATGCAAGATAAAAACAAAACAAAAAAACATAATTATTACTTAGAATCTGAATTATTCAGTTTAGTTTTGCTTTGTTGATTGTCATTTTTTTCATGCATGGTTGAGGATTTTTGTGATTCTTTGGTGAATAACTCGTGTGTGTTTCAGGTATGGTGCTGGTCCGGACGGAGATGGGTCAGCTGGTGATGGTTCCTCAGCAGGCTCTGGCTCAAGCTCAGGCCCAGAACAGCATCTCGCCGCGGCCCTCCACACCCACCAGCGTGGCCACGTTCAGGGTCACGACCCCACAGGTACAGCCTGTAATGCTCTAGAGTCATAATAAATCTGACGCTCAGATGACATTTCTCTTAAACAGGATTTCTGAAACTCAAGAACCAAATTTTTCCCAAACCTCCCGCTGGAAAAATCAAATGACATCAAGCTGTTTGAATTCAGACCAGATGCATTTCAACAAACCTTTTTTATTGAATGCTTTTATTTTATTTTATTGATTTTGCAAAGACAAAATTGCAAAATGTTTCTGTGTCACTGAAAAACATCTGCTGTGTTGGGTCGTTCTTGAACGATTCGTTCATTTTGCTGAACGAGACTCAAAGGTCCGAGTCGTTAAAATGATCCAAACTTCCCATCACTAATCAACAGTATGGTAAGGGGCGTAACATTTCCGTCACACGCTTCAGGTATTCGGCCAATCACAACGCACTGGATAGCTGGCCAATCACAGCACACCTCGCTTTTCAGACCGATGAGCTTTGTAAAAATCAACGCTTTCAGAAAGGCGGAGCATAGAGGAGAAACAATAATGTACAGTATGTGGAAAATAATGTGTTTTTTAAACCTTAAACCGCATAAACACATTTCATTACACCAAATACACCAAATAATGTTCTTTTTAGCAACGTCATATGACCCCTTTAACAATTCAGAAACTTTTCACTATTTTAAACAATTCACTATTTTCTTGTGCATTTTTTATTCTCATTTTAAAACATCAGTGTGCAGAAATTATTTTCACATTGACCATCTGATGTACACTATTAAATCTTCTGAACTGTTTTTCTTCAGTCAGAGTTGATGGATGAATGCACATGAGATTCACTGCTGACATCTAGTGGTGTGCTTCAGTCAGTGCATCCCAAGATCAAACGAATCCATTTCTTCTCATGCAAGCAGATTTACAAAGAAAAACAACTCTATTTCTTCAGTGTTTTGTACGTTAAACACTATGCTGTCTCTTTTAACAGTTTTGTTTCAAATGCATTGCTTCTGCAAAGTTATAGCAAACATGAATAAGTACATAAGAAAATCCTGTTAGCTTGTCTTTGCCGTTTTTGTGTTCACATATTAATATCCCTCAACAGAATCTAATATGTATATATGTATTAGGATTTTTTAAATTAAAATTTTTATTTGAGGATTGGAATTTACAGTATATGGCCACAAGAAGGCAGCAGCCGTCATATTTGTTGTTTGTTATATTATTTTAGTATTTTTATTTTTCAAATTATGCAAAAAACTTAATAACGAGCAATGCGTATATTTATTTCTTACCATAATAAGATCAGAGTAGCTTGTGTAATATAATGTAGCTCTAGTGTGTGAGAGTGTAATGGTCGCTCATTTCCAGCAGATGGCGCCAGACGCTCGCATTTATTAGTGGCTCAATGGTTTAAATCCATACTGATGTTTTAATAATGAAGCAGGCCATTCAAACGTTTATACAACATTGCAGATAACAAAACATTTCATTTCTGATGTGTAGCAAATTAGTATGTTTTAACATTTGCATTAATGCATTAGCAGACGCTTTTGTCTGAAGCAACTTACAGTAGAGGATGAAAAGCAATTTGTCATCGAGCCAATAATATTCGCAGTACACAATGGCAGGGAAGCTAGATTAAGAAACAAGCTAAAGCAAAGAAATGCAGAAAAAAGAAGAGGCTTTTTTGTGCAACCAACCATTCAGATCAAAATGATCATGCTATAGGCCTATTTTTGATTTTGTGCCTCTAGAAACAAAATGTAAAATATCATAATTAGTTATTATTATTACAGTAAAATCCTTTCAGTCAGTTGTAATGGTCATGGTGCATAACTAATACTTGCTACCGCAGTTTGATTCTAGTAATTTAGCTGTAATTCACAATAGAGTAACTATATATTGTGGTGCAAACTTTAAATTTTAAGTGTATAAAGTTTACTGCAGTGATGTGTTTCCTTGATAAACTCTGTTAAGGACAGTGAGGTGAGGGTTTATATTCCCAGGCGTCTCCCTTCATCCTGCTGTCAGTCATTCTCCGGTTCTCTGCGGCGGAAGACGCTCCTCTCTCCCTCCGAATGCGTTTAATCATTTATCCTCCAACTGCCTGATCGCTGTAACTTTCAGCGCGGAGCGAGAGACTCGTTCTGATGGCGTCGACGTCAGTGTGTGTGTGGCCCTGAGCTCCTCCGTGTCTCAGGGGCCCTCGGGCGCAGCGCTCTCACTAGGGGCCCAGAGACGAGCATCTGTGAGGAGAGAGCGCGTGTTGGCAGTGACGCTGTTAAGCTGTGGCTCAGTGCCTCGTCTCGCTCACGTGATTATTGCTCCTCACATCACAGCGCTGCCCCTCAGCGGAGGGATTTTCACCCGTGTGTCCCCCTCTAGACACACTCATATCAGGGTTTGCAGTACAAGAATGATCTCAGGATGCCAGGAACACCGGGTCAACACAATTCACCTTCAAATCACAAGAAATAAGAATGAATATATATTCCATATAATTGCATATAACAGTTATTTTGAATATTTTAGAAGTGAGGAATTATTTTATATAAGAACTTAAATTATTTTATATATTTAGGAATTATTGTGCATGTTTTGAATAATTTAGAAATAAGAAATAATTTTATATATGAAATAAGATTTTTTAAAAATATTTTATACATTTAAGATATTTTCAGCATATTTTACATTTTTAGATATAAGAAATTATTTTATAAAGAACTTTATATATTTTATATATAGGCAAAATAAAAAGTTCAACCGAGTATATAGGAGGTTGAACTCAAAACTATATTGTATATATTTAAGAATTATTATGCATGTTTTGAATGTTTTAGAAATAAGAAAATGGTTATGTAAGAAATAAGAATTATTATATATATGTAAGATTTATTTGAAATATTTTAGAAATAAGAAATAATTTTATATCAGAAATAAGAATAGTTTTATATATTTAAAAACAATTGAGCATATTTTAGAAATTTGAAATTATTTTATATCAGAAATTAGAATTATTTTACAGATTTCATATATTGAAAGTTTCTTTTGGCAAATTTCAAACTTTAGAAGAAATCTGCAACCCTCCCAAAGGACATAATTCACTTTAAAATCAAAAGAAATAAGAATTATTATATACATATTTGATAATTATTTAGCATATTTTGAACATTTTAGAAATAAGAAAAAAAACCTCCTTTAATTTCAAAAGTGAAACATGGACTTGACATCATTTCTTTAAAAACTTAAAAACAGTGAAATTTTGGCCGACTTTAAGGCCTTCATCAGACATCATATATATATATATGTATTTATATGTATATTTATTTTGCATTTTACACACACACACACACACACACACACATATATATATATATAATTTAATATTTCATATTTTTAGAATTATTGTACATATACTGTACAATCTTTGAATATATATTAATTGTATGTATTCATTGTAAAATTAGTTTACAACAACAAAGGAAACAGAATTCAAATGAACTGAAATTCAAAGAAAACCACGCAACCCTAATAAGTGCAGTTTTTAACAAGAAAAGGAAAGTTTGTCAAGAAAGTTAGTCTTTAGGCCTTAACAGGCAGATCGATAGATTTTGGACCAGGGTGGGAGGACACTTTATTTCCCAGAATGCTGTGCATTACTTGTTTGCTTTTGTAAATTAGATTTCCGGCTCAGCTTCTTGTGTGTTGTGGCCAATTGAATTTGAATTCCCATTAATATATACTGATAAATACATTTTTTTTCTGTGATAATCAACATTATGGCATAAATGCACTTGATTAATCCTAACATAGTGTATTGAACTCATAACGCTCCTTTAATTGCACAGCAGCCTTAGTGAACGCACACAACACTGAAGAAATGAGTCTGTGTGCCACTGACAAAACTCTTTCAAAGCAGTTACTCATCCAGAGTTTCGGACGGGCATCTTATAAACCCCGTGCTGAAAGTCTGGCTTTCAGATCCTGTGACTCGTCCTTTCCTCTGTGATGCTGCTCTCAATCGTTCTTTCCTCCCTTCTTTTCTGTCTGTTCTCTTTCTCTGGCTCCTCTCCTCCCTGCAGTCTCCTGTTAGCACTCAGGCGATTCGTCCCGCTCCTGCGGCTCAAACTAAACCGGTCCAGTCGAGTTCACCGAGCGCCGCGGCCCAGACCAGCACTGCAGCCGGCCCCGCTGTGAGCATCTGCCCTGTCCCGTCTCTGTCTCTCCTTCTCTCTGTTTCCCACTCATCAGCATCAGTTGTTTTTATGTTCATGTAAGCATTAAGATGCCAGCTGTATCTGACCATAGAGTTTCAGAGGAGAAAAACTGAGTGAATTTAATATTCAGCTGCACAAGGCAGTGCATTACAGCAATTTTAAAAATCTGATTTAATTAAAAAATTCAAACAATAAGATACAAGAGGCCATACTTTAAATTAAAAATATTGTCACAATTTTAGAAGATACACATTTTCGCTAAAACGTTATTTTATTAATAAAATTGTCAATTTTTTGTTAATACAGTGTTTCTCAACTAGGGGAGCAGTTATCCTCAGCACACTTCCAAGATGACTAAAATTATTTAAAATATGACATATATTAAATATAAAATATGTTTTGGAAAATATGAAAATATGAGGTAATTTCTAAAGTGTGATTCAGGGTTATTATCATTAACTAAAACTAAACTGTAAATAAAAACTGAAATAAAATATTAAAAAAATAAACATTTGAAGTACTAAAATTATAATAAAAATAACAATAAAAATGACTAAAACTTTAACTAAAACTGAAATTAAAACTATTTAAAAAAAAAATTAAATACTATCAAAAATTATAATAGTTTATCAATGATAATAAAATTACACTGGTGTGATTTCTAGACCTGAAAAAGTCCAAGAAATGAATAAAATGGTAAGAAGTCGTGTAAATATTTAGAATGAATATAAATGTTTCTAGTTATGTCAGGCTCTACAATATTTTATCAGGTAGAAATCGCTATTTCAGTTAAAAAAGCAACAACAAAAAACCCATGACAAAACAAACAATCACAAACTACTTGGAAAAAAAGTAAATGAATTGGTAATAAAAAGAGCAAATTCTGAAGAACATTCAGCTTTTGAAACATTTGGAATTATGTAATTTTAATGACTTTATTTATAATTATTTAAATATATTGCCACTGCTACTTTCTGTAAATGAAAAAGTTTGAAAATGAGCAGCGCTGTCATTACAGCATGAACTGAATGAACTGATGCAGAACGATCTGCTTTTAATCTGACTGAAATCAATCTTATGTGCTTTTTAATCTACTCCTGTGCTTATCTATAAAGTTGTGTTTTATTAGATTTCTTACATAAAGACAAAGAACAGACAGGAAAAACTCAACATGGCTGTAAGAGATGGAGAGCAAGCGGCTCAGGAGCAAACCAAGCGAACTGTGAGTCGTCAGGTGCAGCGATCACGTGCTCTGAGTTCTTCTCCTCCATCTCTATCTCTCTCTCTCTCTCTCGCTCTCTCTCTCTCTCTCTCTCTCGGCTCCTGTTGTCCCCCGCTCTCTCGGGACACGTGATGTGACAGGGCACGCTGTGGCCGTCTCTCCTGTTCTCTGTGGCCTTGCTGGCAGGCAGACGTCAGCTTGTGTTTATCTCCGTGTCTCTGCTCCTTCCTCCTCTAGAAGGCCCCCGTGGCAGCCGCCGTGGCAGTGACAGCTCCCCAGCAGGTCCAGCCGGCCTTGGGCCCCCAGGGGCCCCTCACTCAGATGCCACTAGCCCCGCAGAGCGCAGCCGCCCCGGCCACCGGATCTCCGCTTGTCTCCCAGGTCTGTGTGCCCTCCTGTATCGAAGCCCGCAAGTTTCTCTCTCTCTTTATCTATTCTTTTTCTCAGCTCAAGTGAGTGACTGTTGGACCCCTCAAGCTTCCCTGGTTAACTGTCAGGACTTGGTTAGGCTCCATCCAAACCACACACACACACACACAGCTGCCAGCATGTTCACGCATAGACAAACTAACACACATGTGGCAGCGCTAGCCTATAGACATCTGGGCATCACATCTGCACGCAAACACAGACATGCATGTTCCCATACACTACCGTTCAAAAGTTTGGGGTCAGTGTGATTTTTTATTTTTTTTTCTGTGATCAAACATACAGTAAAAATGTGAAATATTATTACAATTTAAAATAACAGTTTTCTATGTGAATATCTGTTAAAATGTAATTTATTCCTGTGATTAAAAGCTGAATTTTCAGCATCATTTCTCCAGTCTTCAGAAATCATTCTAATGTGCTGATTTGCTGCTCAAGAAACATTTCTGATTATTATCAATGTTGAAAACAGTTGTGCTGCCCAATATTTCCGTAGAAATCATGGTACATTTTTTCTTTCAGGATTGAAATAGAAATCTTTTATGACATTATAAATGTCTTTGCTGTCACTTTTAATATTTTTAATGCATCATTGCTGAATAAAAGCATTATTTTTTTTAAATTAACTGACCCAAAACTTTTGTATATCCAGGTGAATTTCACAAAGCTGTCAAGAACACGTACAGGTCATATTTAACCCCCCCCCCCAAAAAAAAGAAATATATATATATATATATACATATGTATGTATATTTCTAAGAATTTTTTTTAATATTTCCCTCCCAAATTCTCATTATTTTACTGCAAAAAAAGATAAAATACTTTTCATAATGTAATAAAAAAGAATGATTGAATAATAATGATTATTTAAATTATAAAATATTTATACGTAATGATACTTACTGTTAGTTGTTCTGTCTTTAATTTATACGGATTAAAAAAAGAAAAAATTATTGTTGTGTTACAGTAATTTATATTAAATTATCATACCTAAAGTCAATTAAAAATAATGGGAATTACAAAAAATAAATCCCGGATTCTCTATGGTAATGAAAATTGGTGGCTAAATGTGTGAGTTAAACTGTGTCAGAACAAATGCATCTTGATAATGTCAGATAACACTTAAGCAAAACATGCTCAGGTCAAAGTGTCTGAATCATTTTTGGTCCCAAATTTGATTAGTTTTACTGGTAGTCCACTGTATGAAGAATTTGTGGGTATAATATGTCACTGTTTACTTTATTTTGCTATCCTCACTTACATAAATTAACTATAGTGTCCTGCACCCACTAGTAAATAAATATCAAAAATTATATCTGGTGTCTGAATAATTTTTGTTTTGTCTGTCTCTCTCTCTCTCTCTCTCTCTCTCTCTCTCTCTATATATATATATATTAGTGCTGTCAAATGATTAATCGTGATTAATTGCATCCAAAATTAAAAGTTTTTGTTTGCATAATATATGTGTGTGTACTGTGTGTATTTATTATGTATATATAAATACACACACATAGAGTATATACAGTATTTAGAAAATATTTACATCTATTTACACGTCTATATTTATATTCATATAATTTGTATTATAAAGAAATATATTTAATATATAAAAATAACATATTTTTCTGAAATATATACATACATGTATGTGTATGTATATATACATAATAAATATACACTGTACACATACATATATTATGTAAACAAAAACTTTTATTTTGGATGCGATTAATTGCAATTAATCGTTTGACAGCACTAATATATATATATATAAAATTTGAAAAATCTTTTTTTGTGATGTGATTTTCTGTATGTGATGGAAAGTTTTTATTGATATTTTTGAATTCAGCATCATCAAATTAGCTAATATTAGTTCTTCAAGATGCAGAGCTGTGCTTTGAAAAAATGAAATTTGACTCATGTAAGCTCAAAGGTTAATTCGTTTTCATCCTGCACTAATCATCTCTTCTTCCTGTAGTTTGCATGTTTTTTTTTTTTCACTGTACACATTCATATTTGAACATCTGCTGTCGCTCCTCTCAGGATGCAAAGATCGATCCGGAGGAGTTCACCAGCCGGCTGCAGTCCGAGCTGAAGTCGTCTCCGCAGCCGTACCTGGTCCCTTTCCTGAAGGTGCGTTAACGTGTGTGTGGCCTCCTCCTCCTCTGTGTTCCTCGCGGTCAGTAGCTAGCAGGCGTGTCCAGCCAGGCACAATACATGTCACATCCCACCCGGTCCGAACTGGCACGCTAATGCAGCCGCGCTGTCATGCAGTGTTAGCTCGCTTACGTCAAAATCCTCCAGAAATAGACATCGGCAGCCCGCGGTGTCCTCACGGGGCCTGGGATCTCAGCGAGATGTCTTTGATTACTGAGTTTAATGATCTCTGTCCGACTGTTCAGCCTCTATGAGGAAAAAATGACAGTTCACACACTGGAAATGGAATTGAAATTACACATATAAGATCCTTTTGTTATTGTGAATGATTCATAAGTGCAGGTTATTCTAAAGTTAAAGTTGGTTTTCTGATATTTTGGTCTCTACTAGAAGAGTGAGTGTTTGTAATATTATATCGGGAGCATATTTCATGATTAGAAATGTGCAAAAATGTGCTTTCAAATGACCATTTTAACCTAGACCCAGTCAGGCATACAGATTCAGTAGTTTTTGACATGATGAAACATTTTAAAACAAGACAATTTTACCTTTAACCATATTTTTTTTTACCATATTTCCTCAGCTGATTAATCAGTAAGTTGTTTTGTATTACAAGTTTTTTGAAATGTTATATTTGAATATGCACATGATGCATTGCACTTATTTGCATAAATCTCCAGAACAGAAATCTGAACATTGGTTCCTGTTTTAATTTGTTGAAAGGTTTTTAAAAGAGGAGATTTTGGATTTCTCCATATTTCAGAAAATACAGTCAACAGCCAGAAAAAAAAAATCCCCATGTTTGTAAGAATAAAATTTTAAATATATATCAGGTGAATTATATTTGAACAAATCCCTCTGTAAAACCCTTCAGGATACAGATAGGAATAAAATGTAAATTTTGGCTAATGTAAGTGCATTTTGATAAAATGGCATTAAAAGATAGGAACTATAATTGAAATCTGCAGACACAAATAGATAAAGTGTAATAAAATATAAACACTTAAATGTGTATTTTGGATGATTTTTTTTCGACTAGTCTAAATGAAGACATGCTACGGAAGCAAAATAGCCCAAAATCTCAATGTTAGGGTGAATGAAAAAATGAAAAACAATAGTTCTGCCTGTAGTGTCTTACCTTAAATACATACATACTCCTTTACACACAAACACACGGGTTTCATGACCTTGTGAATGTATTTGATTTCAAAAGTGGGGACACATTTTGTGCATGAAATGTTTATTTTGTTTATGAATGTTCATGCAAGTGTTTACTTTGAGACTAACTCTGTGTGTGTGTGTGTGTGTGTGTGTATGTGTGTTTGTAGAAAAGTCTCCCTGCGTTGCGTCTGTCTCTCCTGAACAGCCAGCAGTCTCTCACTCCGCCTCTGCAGCCCAACAAAACCAGCGTGACGCCGGTTCAGACGGGTGTCAGTGTGCGGCCACACCAGCCCAACAGCACCACCGTACTGCCACAAGTATGCACTGAGCTCCCTTTTTTCTCACATATGCTTCACTTTTCTCTTTCTCATTCATATAATTCAGCAGAAACAATATATAACCATACCATAGATCCTAGATATCTGTTAAATTAAATAGCGACCCATCTGGAAAACAACAAGCATCTGATACACTTAAAAAAGCAGATTTAAATGCATTCATAAACATGTTAGAGACGTATTGTAAACACTCTAATAAAATGCATCGTCCAGATGAAAATGCACACATGAAATAGATGTTTCCATGATGTAGATGTGCTTTCAGGGATCTTACTCTCATATGAATAAAAGCGTTTGATGTACTGTGTGACTGTAATGTTTACAACTCAAAACTCCTGCTTCAGTCACCCACAACTTTTTTTAAAAACGAAATAGTCTCATTCCGAAATCATAATCACAGCCATGACCTCATTAACATATGCCCAGCCATATTTGCATATCATACTTATTCTTTAATTAGAAGCTTGCTTGAGCCATTGTTATTCATTTTACATGCAAAGAGTTAAAAAAGATTATTGATAAATATTACATTTTATTACTATACATTGTATATTTGTGCATATGAATATATATATATATATATATATATATATATATATATATATATATATATATATATATTTTTTTTTTTTTACCATATTTCCTCAGCTGATTAATCAGTCAGTTGTTTTGTATTACAAGTTTTTTGAAATGTTATATTTGAATATGCACATGATGCATTGCACTTATTTGCATAAATCTCCAGAACAGAAATCTGAACATTGGTTCCTGTTTTAATTTGTTGAAAGGTTTTTAAAAGAGGAGATTTTGGATTTCTCCATATTTCAGAAAATACAGTCAACAGCCAGAAAAAAAAAATCCCCATGTTTGTAAGAATAAAATTTTAAATATATATCAGGTGAATTATATTTGAACAAATCCCTCTGTAAAACCCTTCAGGATACAGATAGGAATAAAATGTAAATTTTGGCTAATGTAAGTGCATTTTGATAAAATGGCATTAAAAGATAGGAACTATAATTGAAATCTGCAGACACAAATAGATAAAGTGTAATAAAATATAAACACTTAAATGTGTATTTTGGATGATTTTTTTTCGACTAGTCTAAATGAAGACATGCTACGGAAGCAAAATAGCCCAAAATCTCAATGTTAGGGTGAATGAAAAAATGAAAAACAATAGTTCTGCCTGTAGTGTCTTACCTTAAATACATACATACTCCTTTACACACAAACACACGGGTTTCATGACCTTGTGAATGTATTTGATTTCAAAAGTGGGGACACATTTTGTGCATGAAATGTTTATTTTGTTTATGAATGTTCATGCAAGTGTTTACTTTGAGACTAACTCTGTGTGTGTGTGTGTGTGTGTGTGTATGTGTGTTTGTAGAAAAGTCTCCCTGCGTTGCGTCTGTCTCTCCTGAACAGCCAGCAGTCTCTCACTC